TTAGTAGTAATCTACCAACAACAGAAATCTAACAGGAACCTGCAAGACAGGTGCTGGTTACCAGTCAAATCATTTTGTCTCCAGTGTTACAAACATTTACATATATCAGTATTATCAATGTCTTCAGCCAAGCCATCCAGATTCCTAGCTGGAAGTGAATAAAGTTCGTAGAGTCAAGGTAGAAGATTATCTTGTTAAATTCTTCCTCTGTTTAATATTTTCCTTCATATAACACTTTTGTGCTGGTAACTTGGGTTGGTTTATATTAGTAAGGTGTTAGAACATGATGGCTGTTGTTAAAATAAGACAATATGAATAAATTCTTCTGACAAAACCACAAATTATTTAATAATTATCAGATAGGGTATATTAGAATGATGCTTAAGCAAGCTTTCTTTTCTCCAGATCACTGACAAGTTTTTATAGTTACCTATAAAAAGTTGCTGTAGCATCAAGAATTATAAACAATCCCTACATATTTAAACAATTTCCTCCAGTTTCTTCACAGTAAATACTGGATTCTGACCATTACCACACTGAATTTAACATGAAAAAATGAAGTTCACTCAGATGTTTAGACTTAGGTAAAATTCTTGCCGATTAATGTAGTTGAATTAAAACTAACAGAAGATCTGATCTTTTTGAGCGACTATATAATATAGCTCTCTGTTTGTATGGAAGATTTCTTCCAGCACATGCTTATGAAAGCCTCTTCAAGAGGCTTGTGTTTTTTCTCAGATTTTGACTCAGCTAAAACATTTGTGCACGTGAATACTTGGAGACTACAGAGAAGGACTTGAGACTTTAGGGTGCTGTAGTCATCATCAAGTGGTAGTAATAAAAGGGTGTAAATTGAAAAAGTAGTAGAAATGAAGTATATGTTATTATTAATATATACTACCTAAGCCTTTAGAAGAAAATTGCTTGATGCTTCCAGCTTCTGCTTTGTGATACACTCTGCACAGACTACATTTCTTGTTAGCCACCTCTGGCCATGCGACTCCTATGACACACTGATACATTTACATGTTGATCTGACTGAAAAATAAAAACTTCATGTAATTTCAATAAACCAATACAATTCATCTCATGCTAACAGGAAAAAAATACATTTTGCTGCTGGTTTTGTGTGTAGAAGGTTTTTTTAATAAGAAAAAAAATATCTCTGTGGAAAATTTGGTTCTATTGATCATACATCCTTTTGAAAAATGCCCTCTTGACCACCTGTCTTCACTTTCTGTTCTGTTTTTCATATTCTTGAGACATATTTCGACTTTGAAAAGATTAATGAGGTTGTCTTTTTAAAAGGTAGTTATGACAGCATAGAAAAGAGAATAGTAATGTGAAAAAATATGGCTACCTTATTTTCTCAAGTATGTCAGCATGTTTGAAATAAGCATACAATTATTTTCCCTGGTAAATTTGGGCCTCTTTTTTGAGCTTCCTACCTCTCCAGCTTGATGTTTCTAAAACCTTTAAAATGAGAGGCCTGAAGATGAGGCCTCTTTAAGTTTGCATGGAAAACTGAATATTGAACATAAATAATAGCTGCTTTTTCCAGTAATGTGAAGGTCTTGGAAGACTGATCATGCAAAAGACAATCTTTGCAAGAAAACCCTGAAGTGATATGAGGTCTCTGAAATTGTAGGAATCATCCTTTCACATTATGAAGAGATTACCATTTGATTAGAATGTTTGCAACCTCATGCTATCTGTATAGATTTTGATAACAGAGTGCAGTTCTTTCCTGTGTTTTCAGGTGTTTTGAATATATAATTTAATTAGGTTTTTTTATAATGTATTTGACATATTTTTAGCTTTATAGTGACTGCATATAAACTATTTGCTAATATAAAAGTCCTATTTATTTTATGAAGTTAAACAATACCAAAACAGGGCTATTTTAAAACTTAAATCGCCAGAACTCTTGCTTCACATAGCAGCTTTGTAAGAGCAATTAAGAACCATGGTATTTATGTGTGTATATGTGTATATATTGAAAGTTTACAGTGACATCAGTAGAACTGCACAGGAAATGAATTTGGCTTTACTTACCACAGTATGTAAACCCAGGACTTCAATTTCTATATTTTCTGAGGAATGCATGGTGTATACCCACTTCTGAGTTGTACAAGAGATATGAATGATTCTTCTGTTGTCAGTAAAATTATATGTAGTGGTTAAGACTCATGAGCTGTTGTGTACCAAATCCTTGGCCTATTGCTGTATGAGGAGTATATGTACTTTGCATATGATATTATTGTGATTAAATGTTTCTCTTGTGTACACTCAAATTGAGAACTGTAGTCTAAATCAGGATAGACAATTTTGTTGCATGCTTAGTGTTTTCCACATTTTTTTGAAAGAGGCTGTATTTTTTGTTGTGTTGAGATGCAATGGTAAAATTAATTCAGTAATCTCAGTGTATACTGTATGCTTATATTTCAGGAGCAAAAATTTACACTTGTTTGGAAATGTCTAAACTTTTTATGCCATATAGGACATAATAAATTCTCCAACTTTCCTCTTTTTAACTCTAATCATCTTTTGTTCATTAATAGCTCAGCTAACATTGATGAATTTAAATGTAATTAAATAGAAAAAAGTTAAATGTGCTAAAAGTTTTTGAATTCTCCGCTAACTAAAATACAAAGGAATTTACTCGGATTCTTCTTTTCTAGATATAGATTGAATTTGGATATGTCCAAAGCTTATAATAATTTAAAAATCTTGCCTATAGAACATTTAAGTTTCTTCTATTTTTTAAATTGTACCTTTTCAATTAAAAAAAAAATATTCTGTGAAAATTTCCTGTAGTATTTGTCTTTGCATCTATTTTTTTTTACATTAAGTACAGTGGTAAAATATTCTTTAGGACAATTGCATATGATTGAGTACAATATTTTCATCTTTTAGCAGCATATTAGCAACTGAAGCTTACAAATATTTCCAGAAGTATATATTAGTTAAAATATACTTAATGTTGTTTGTTCAAAGGTTTATGGAAACCTTTTTCTTATTTTAGGTGGTGGGTGATTTCATTCCTGAGATAAACCAAAGTAATGATTGTACCATATACTGTTTTATGCTGGTTTCTGTATTTTTCTTATCAGCACCTACTGCTAAATTAAGAGGCCTTACTCACTTATGGTCTCGTGCACTTATTTGGCTTCAAAATCACAGTGAATAAGAGCACAACTGAACCTCAGATTTGATTTAAAAAAGATTATTCCACCAATTACTTAGTTCTGAAATTAATCATAATCCATTGACAAAATATTCATTCTTTGTATGTAAAACTGGAAAAGAACAGATCAGCATTCAGGTAGTTTTTTTTTTCATCCTGCATTATGGCAGATTACCTACTGCACTGTGTGATAAATAGATGTCACATAATCTGTATACTGATATCACAATTTCATTATAAACCCTCTTAAAAAGAGACTAAACCCCCCACAATTAAAGGTAGGCAAGTACACATCAGGTATATAGATGAAGGAGATAAAGGTACTCAATCACTACCAGGTGATTTGTCTGTTAATCATGTCTGCATTTCAGGATTGCAATAGTACCATTTCCCAGAATAGATTTAAGTTATATACTTCTGGAATTCAAAATAACTATCCAACTTGAAAATAGGATGTTGAAATTTTAGTGGTTGCATTAGGATTTTTCTGATCCTGAATTTTAATTATGCTATGTCAGCATAGCTGATAAAATACCTGAGAAGCATGAACAGGATTATCATCCCCTATGGTTAGCTCAAAATACTAAGTATTCACTCTGTATATTATTTGTGCAATGCACAGCACTAACTAGCATCACAAAAAAATGTGATCTATTTTGTAAACCAAGTGAGAGAAGGTGATAGCTCCTATAAATGCTTAGCAAAGGCCTAAGCCAAAGTCTGCCAGAGCCAATGGGAACAATTCTGTAGATTTGAATTCAGTTTTGAATCAGGTCCCAAGTGCCTCAGGATGATCACAGGGTATACAGGTCTTTATCTAAAATCAGGTTAACTGAAGAATTCCACCTACAGAGCAGAAGAGGAGCAAGAAATGTTTGTATCATGCAGAAGTGCGGGTTCCATACCCACGTCATGCTGATGCAGCATGCCGACTGTGTCTGAAAGAAAAATTGCTCTTGCTGCTGAGCAAGGCTAGCATGCTGCCTGTGAAAAAACAAGGTTCTTTAAACAACTGGTCAAGCCGCTGGGTAGAGATAACAGTAAAGCCTAACACTGACTGAGAACTGCAAGTGGTTCTTGGTCATGCTAAGCCTCCTTCTCCAATCCATTTTCCTCCTTTTTGCCAGATAAAGCAGAATATTTTAGAATATACTAATTTTTCCCAGGGTATTAATTTTATGTAACTCAGCAGATAAGGCATTAGTATAATGTAACAACCAGAGTGGTATGTCTTTCTAACTTGCAACTACTGAATTTTAGTTTTAAACACCAAAAATATGTTTTTAAACTAGTAACTTCTGTCTAACTCGTAAAAGTGATTGATACCTTTTAAAAGATTATGAATGGCATAATCACATACTATACAGAAGTATCTAAATATGTGTTTGGTATGCCTTTTCTCTTATTTGAGGAACTTGAATGGTGAACATTAAGGTTAATCCTAAATGTTAAAAAGAAGTTATAACAATCATAACAGTATGATCTCATGGTATTCCACAGCAGTTCAGTGAGTCATGGCTTATTAATACTTGAATTTCCCATCCCATTTCTACAAGACTTCTAAATCTCTTCTACTAAGCTTCACCTTTCTTTTAACAATGGGTTTCTTAAAAGTTTTTCATTGTAGTACACAACCAAAAGACCATGTACTTGCTACATTATATCAGTATGAGCTGTTGCACTGAAATTATAAAGAATGGTTTTTATAGATCTCTGGGGTACCTCCATTGTTATTTATCTATCAAGACAACACTCTTGCCTATAATATGAATGACTCTTTGCTGTATCACAATGAAAACTATTTTACAGATAGAGATGAGAATTGCAAGCACACTAAGGACATCTCTCTGCAGCGAAGTGCATCACAGATCAGAGTCCTGAATTTACATCAGCTGAGCCTGTGCCAGAACCCAGGTCAGTATAAACTCAACAGGTAAAAGGCAGGGTTTACTGGCTTTAGTGACTACTGTTTAATGTTAACTTTCTTTTTAGTCTCTTCGTGTATTTACATGCCAGTTCAGGGCAGCAACTACACGAGGACCCCACTTTGTTACGTAGTTACTACATGTTCACAGCGACTTCTAAGTCACACATAGTCCTCTGTAACACAAAACAAGGCACAAAATTTGCATCTACTTCGTCTATATTGGTGCCTGGATCAGTCATTTCTCTCTAGAAATAGCTGAAAGTCTATAGCATATTTACCATGGTGTCTGGATATTCTGCATAACCAACAGTCAGCCCTGTAGATCTACCAACTAAATGCTTGATGTAAGAAGATGATCAGCTTTCCATTACATCTTCCATGCTCATCCCTAGATAATATTTGGAAATCTTGGGGTTTTAGTCTCTGATAGGTGGTTAAATTTTGCCTTTTTTTGTTTTACAGAAATAAGTCTGGCAACACATATATAGAAATATTTATTTCTTATATTTATTGTATAAGGAGAATGGGATAGGAATTAGCATCACTACTACCCTGAAAATGATAGAGGAACCTTGAATGTTTTCAGTTTGTACTAAGAAAGATGCTTCACATTACAGAACTGGCCTTGATATATCTCAGAATGAATATGTTGGGGGTCATTTATACTGAGAAGGCTCTTGGTCATCAAGGTACCAAAAAAAAAAAAAAATCACTTCTAACAGATCAGGATGCTCTGCTGGAGAGTCCTTGTACAGAAAGATATGTGTGCGGTGTCCTGAAAATTAGAATTCCACAGTCTGTTACTCATCAAAAGAATCTACTGCTGGCAAAAAAAAAAAGCACTCCTTTTTGTTTCTGCATATGAATTACTGAATGCTAACTACAACTCAGTGTTCTCATTATCTGACTACCTCATTCTAACTCTTGTGCGTACCAGCTGGTATTAAATTGCCTTTTTACTAACTTGGGAATGGTGAAAAAACAGTGGTTAACAAACGTGGTCAATAAAGGGTTTTTTTTTATTGTTTCAAGCTGTTAGATACATAGTTAATTACATCTCAGCTATTTAGGACAGTTGACTTCATGTTAATCGAATCAAATATTGTCAGCAGTGACTTTATTAAAATAACATTTTTCTTCTAGCACAGCTGCCCTTGAATTTGACAAAATAATTTTGCTGCACAAAGTACTTGGCTTGTACTGAGAGGAGCTACACTGCTATAATAGTGCACTAGGGCTCCCTTTCTGACTTCTCTTTGGTCTGTGTGTTGTCCTTTCATGAAAAGTGGTGGTAAATGTTACTTATAATTGAGCCTGCAGTGCTGACTTTTTTTTTGTAGTGTATAGTACGTTGCATTAAATATAAAAGAAAAATTAATTTGTCTGGAAGGACAGTAATTCTTTGACTATTATGTAGTCATTGTAGTTGGTGGGAATAAAGACCTGTGACTATTGTAATGTGCTCACAGGCACACTGTGACAACGCTCTCTGTTGTGTATTTTCTAATACATTGCAGAGTCTGGTTTTAAATTTTTAGCATAAACAGGACACCTTTCTCCTATTGTTGTGTTTTAAATAAAAACGCTAAACTGGGGTGACTCGACAAGCTCCAAGGAAGTCTCAAACATTTACACCCCAGAGTCCCATTGAAAAACAGCTGCTGAAAACATAAATCATTCTTTTAAGGAGAAAAATGGCCCCTCCTTGAGCCATTTCTCTGCTAAAACTGTCTCCTTACAGGAACAACATATTTGTTAATCCCAGTGATACTCTGCCATCAAAATTGTCAATTGCTATAACTGAAATAATTTTAACACTTGTAAACACATGAAAAGAAAATGTTTATATTACTCATTATTCAGATATTGTATTACTGACATTATATGAAAAAAAAAAAGACATTTTGTAAATAGATAGAAAATTGTGAAAGTAACGCTTTATTTTTTTTTTTTTCCAAAAATGTACTTTCACAAGAAGCAAGAAAAAATTGACAGGGGAAAAAAAATCAAATGTTAAAATTTGGTGAGAAATCAGAATTCTAAGTTTCAGCTGGATCCTAGATATTTTTGGAAAAGTGTGGCCAAACAGTTGTAGGTAATTGCTATTCATGTCCTTGTTAATGTGTTTTTAGCTATTCTTACAATAGAATTTAAGACCTGATTTTTGTGTAGATCATGACTACCAGGGAGGGAAGTGTCCCATACCACTGAGACATATGGTATAAATTACAAGCTTACAGCTGAACAGACTAGTTTTTCTGGTTAGTGTCCTTTGAAAACCACTAATGTTGACCATTACACAGTGAACTAAAAATTCATTACAGCACAGGAAAGGCGGTAGAGCCTAAAGAAAGCTTGTCTTTTTCTGAGCTTTAAGTTTTGTGCTACAAGCTGTTCTTGTTGGAGTAAGGAAAAAAGTGAGACTTTAAATTTAGTCTTACCTCTTGGAAGTTAATACTTCTCCATAGGACAAGTTCAGTATGATTTCCTAGATATATTTTTTTTCTCCAAACACGGACATTTCTTGCCTGACAAAAGATATTTTTTCACTTGTGTGTCACAGTTTGTTATTTAAATAAATTATCTAATTTACATATATAAAATTGTTAAATCACAAAGTCCTTTATAATGACAAATACTGGTGAGTTAGAGACCTTCACAGGTAGCATATTTTTCAAATGTAGGTGAAATTTTTTATAAGTCAAGTCAATGTTAAAGAGAGTCTAGGTCCTGAAGATGGGTTCAGGTAGATGGACAGAACTCAAGGTGTTAATATTTTTTTATACAGTTTGAAAGGAATAACAGCCATGGCTTTCTAAGAGAAAAAATTAATATTAGAACTAGCAATAGAATAATACCACAGCTCTTCACCTCTTTGTTAATGAAGCTATTAAAGTCAAAGTCTGAAATGTGCTGGACTGTCTTTTAAAAGTAATATTTTGAACCGTGGTTCAATGAATCTTCTGAGCACATGCTTTATTTTATGTATATTCTTAAGGTCCTTCTCAAACTTTAGGAAATTCCTCAAAAGTGTTGCCAAATGGGAATGAACCTGCAAGTATGTTAATATTTTTTGGCTTTTTTCTAATCAGAACCTGATTGTTCTTTTAACTGGTGTTACTTTCTGAATTTAGTACTTTTCCATATTTTCAAAAGATTGGTATGGGAAGCATTACCAAAACCCATGTTGTTTCTGCATTTCTTAAACAATTATGAAGCTATTTGCTGAATAGTATTTTAAAGAAAATGGGCACATTTTGACTCTAAAATTATTCTAACAAACAAATACTTCCTGTGGTTCTTCAAATTGTCAGAGGACTGCTTTTGCTGCATTGGTTGACTTCAAGGTTTAGCACATCTCTAGAAATAAACAAGCATGTTGGGCATGTTGTTTGATGAACTTCAAAGATTTAAGCACTCAGCTTTAATTACTGATGGTTTTAGCAACAGCACAATAAAGATAGGCTCCTGCTTCACTAAATCAAAGAAATGTGACTGAGGGCCTTCTGATCCAATTGTTCTCATTTAGTGCAGCTCTCACAAACATGGTTGTAAAATATTATTGTGGCTTGAGCTGACATGAAACACCATTGTCATCAATCAAATAAATAAATAAATAAAGTGTGAGAATCAATACATAACACAAAAGTGGTGATTTCAGCCACTTAATCAACTGCACATATTTTGCAGTTTTGTTCCCCTCCTCTCCCTATTTCTCTCCAACTTCTATTTAATTATTTGTATATATCTATATATATACACACACACTTTTTTTTTTTTTTTTTTTTTTTTTAACACTTGTCATTCTGCAACCTAGTAAAGATTAGCAGCTGTGGAGATGAAAGGATCAGCATTTCCCAACCAGGATGATTTGAAAGACACTGTTACTATATAGCATTCAAGTGCTAATGTTACTCAGTAAAGCTCTGTACCTTTTAGTTGTTCAGTGATAATAATAATCTTTTGTCTCCCTGCTGATACAATTATGCACACTATATTGAATAGTTATGATTGTGTGGCTTGACAGCATTCCAAGGTTTTGCCAGAGACCCTGCTATATAAACTCATTCAGAGCAGTAAGGCAGGATTAATGGGTGAGTTGGATGAAGCATGAGGCCAGCTGGTGTCAGCTGCCTCTTAACAATGGTAATATGTATCAATCACTCAGCATGTTTTTTTTGTTGGGATATTTTTAATCTTTGAGGTCTAATACCAATAAAACATATTTACTGGGATTTAAAGGGGCAGAATTATTTAGAGGGAGGAGATGAAATGTTCCCTACTGTCTTAATTGAAGCTTGTGCTGAATGGATAATCTTCAGTCAAAATAAGCATTGCCATCTGACACATCTACTGTCAGGAAAATAATTTGAAGAAAACTGATGGAACCAAAAAGAGATTCTTGTTTGCTGCAAGGACTTCATCTCTGCAGACATCCAATGCATGGTTTATAGAAGGACAGGGGTTTTCTTAATGTTTTGCTTTTTTATTTTTTTTTAAAGCAATGTAACTTCAGGTAAGAAAATGAATTTAAAAACCCCAACAGATTATTTTAGAATTATCAGATCATCAGATGTTTCTCTGAGCTTGCTTTTAAATAATAACTATTTAATTCATTACATTTTTTTTAGAGAAACTCAAGTTACAAATCCAGCTTACATTTCTTGATCCGGAAAATCACATGTATATATACTTAAATATGTGAATATACAAGGAAGTGTTTAACTGTAGCATGAGTCCCCTGACTTTAATGGGGTTTATGCGCATGCTTAAGTGTATTTCTAAAAGAAATGTTTATTCATCTGACTACTGTATGCAAATCATTTTTTAACAGTAGTTATTCCAGAACTGAATAGAAAAAACATGACCAAACCTACAGAGTCTACGAATGGAATGGTGTGACACCTATTAGGTGAGGACTGCCTCTATTTTATTTAGGAGATATTTTGTTTCCAAAGACAGAGTTAAATTAGCTAGATAAGCTTAA